AAATCATTGTGTGTCTTATACTCCGGTGTGTCTTATAATCTGAAAAATATGGCATATCTCTTTCTCCCTCTCTCCCTCCCTCCCCCTCCCTCCCTCTCATCCTTTTCTTTCTCTCTCTTTCCCTCTCTCCCCCTCCCATCTGTCTCCTTCTCCCTCTCTCTGTCTTGCAAAGTGTGTGCTCAGTAAACCAGTTGTTAGACCTGTTGAATTCCTGCCTTACTCTCTGCCTCTGTTTCTTATCTAGCTCTGGACTTCGCTGCCTCTTGTCCAGTCCTGCTTCCTGGAATGTGCTCCTTTCTTCCTGGGAGATTTCCAGTTCACTGTATTCCATCAAAGCCGATCCCTGGTTTGGTTGGAACGGGGCCGACGGCATCCTCGTGCATGCGCACAGTGCACGCATGCGTACTAGCATCTGTGCGATGCTCCAGCTACTCCTGGAGGATCGTGCAGGCACTGTATGCATCCTGCGCATGCGTGGAAGTGCAGAACTCGTCAAAACCGGGTAAGAAACACAGGCGGGCGGGTGGACCCTTCGGCGTTCCCGGAAGTTACTTACTTCCGGGTTCGCCGACCAACCGGTTCACAGGGACCGCTGCAAACCACCTGAAACCCACCCCTGGGATGGGAGTACATACACATACACAAACATACTCTCTTTTCACAACCCTGTAATTCCTTAATTCGGGGTAGAGTACATATATAAAGCAACAGCACTTCAACTTATATACCGCTGTGCAGTGCTTTACAGTCCTCCCTACACAGTTTACAGAGTCAGCATATTGTCCCCAACGATTTGGGTCCTCATTTTACCAACCTTGGAAGGATGGAAGGCTGAGTCAACCTTGAGCCGGTGAGACTCAAACTGCCAAAGTGCTGGCGGCTATCAGCAGAATTAGCCGCAATACTGCATTCTAACCACTGCACCACCATGGCTCATTTATATCTGACATATGACTCTATGCATGTCCACTTTATAATAATACTACATCTTCCTTCATCAATGATCTCCTACTTATTATCCCATTTTCAAGGAAAGTGGTATATTTCTGATATCCTTTATGACTTGAAGTTCCTGTGTACATTTATTCGATATCCGTGCCTTTTATAGAGCTGTGGGGAAACCATTGGTTTTGCATGAAATGCTATGCAGCTGTTTGATGTCTTTTGTGCATCTGTCTGGATGAGGAAGGCTCTCTAGTTTGGCTGGGTATAAATCTTAAGTACTAGAAAAAAATGGAACAGAATAGTCTGAAAGGTAAATGACAACAAGTTTTCCTTTGTCATTTTTCAGAATAAGCCACATATTCTATAGCATGCTGCATCCACTTATCTCTGCAAAATGTCAGAACATCTAACATCCCTGCATCACATGTGAATAAATATAAGCAGATCTTCCAGGATAAGCTTTTTTGCACAAGCACTTCAAATATAAGGGCCAAGTAGAAGCTGTTTTGTACAGACATGAAGATATCATCTCCTTCCTCAGAACCAAATTGGAATGTTTCATTTTACTTTGTAATAAGACTGATACTATACATAATTCTTTTTCTGCTCCCTCCTTTCTCTCCTTAGTAATAGATTTCTCTCTCTGAAAACAAATGTTGGTTGGTGATAAGTTGCAAATTTAAAAAAAAACCAAAACAGAAAAGTAGTCTATTACCAACAAGTCTAGCTGATTTGCCAAATTAATGTTTTAGATCATCGTGCAGCAGTAGACATAATTAAATGTCAGAGAGAGTGGGAGAGAGGACTCAATGCATGAATAAAGTATCTTTTATTTTATCATTACATTTTGATAATAAAATTTACCTGACATCTTAATGTAATAATGTAGCTAACAAGGTAATTTATTTCTAAATCCAATTGAGATGTAGAGAATGAAGAAGCAAGGCCTTCTGAGATGTTGTGTTCCCTCTGTTGGAGAGAACTTATCTATAGCAGCTGAGAAGAAATCTAAAAACGAGCCCATTGAACAAAAAGCTGGGGTTGAACTGTCATAATATATGAGAAAAGCAAAGGAAGCAAAAAGGAAAAAGCAGAACGGGTTTAGCAGATTAGGGTGGGTGCAGTGGTGGGTTCCTACCGGTTCAGACCAGTTCAACCAAACCGGTAGTGGTTTGGCGGCCTGAGTCGCTGGAACAGGCAGCGACCCGGGCCTGCCACTCCCCCAAACCGGTTCTCTGGGTGGTGCCATAGGCGCTGCCATCTTGCTTTTTTGCTTCTGCGCATGCAGTTCCACTGGTGTTATTGCAGGAAGCTGCAATTTGTTGATGTATCTTATAAAATTCTTGGACATGGTACCAAGTGCCCCGATGACAATGGGNGCCCTGAGTCCCCTTTGGGGAAAAGGGCGGCATATAAATGCAATCAATTCAATTCAATTCAATTTAATAACGTCTTTGAATTGAGCTTAGCTCCTCCTTGCTAGGCTAACTATAAACAATTCGTATCATTTCTGATCTTAATCATAAGCTGTTTTGTTTTATAAAACGTTTCAATTCTCATCCAAGCTGAAGAAGTCAGTTGCGACTTGAAAAATTACCTTTAGGACAACTATGACCTGCATGGTTGAGAATCTCCATAGACATCAGGTCTAATCATAGAAGTACTCATAAGCCTTAAAAAGACTAGAAATGATCTAATCCAAATGAGATATAAAATTCCAGAAAAATATAAGATTAAGCTTAGAAAGAGATTCAAAGGCCCAATAGATAGAAAACGTGAAAAATTATGGGAAGAGGTTAAATTATTGTAAAAGAGGAAGCCAGAAAATACATCATAAAAAAAAGAAAATGAAGAACACATTAGATATCAAAGAAGGCCACAGAAATGACTAGCATAAACAAGACAAGAAGATAGAAATCTAGAGAACTTAACGCAAACTTTCAACTAAAGGTGAAAAGTGATAGCCTATTTGAATTCAGACTGTAGACAAATAGAAAAAGAACCAGAAGGACAAAAGCAGAAGCTATTTATGAAAGTAAATCCCAAGAATATGATTTTTGAGAGATTTTGGGGGCTATATAAATTTGATATATAAACAAATAAAACATTTAGCTTTGCGTCAATGTCATAAAGAACAAAGCATTAAAAAAATGGCAGAATGGCAAGAAAATAGAACTGCAAACGGAACAATACGGGGTACTTTAGGTGGTTTAATGTTTACTTCTTGGTTCAATCCCTTTTCCAGAACTTTTAAACGTTTTATACAAATTTTGTTTTCTGCCAAATAAATGAAAGCCTTACAATTCTTTCAATCAAAAATACCATATACAAGAATTTATTTACCTGTGTATTCACACAAAAAGAATGATTTATCTATACATTTCATTACATTTTATCATATTTAAGATGTCTGAGTGTTGTAATATAATTCCTTGTGTAGGCATAACAGTGCATAACAGGGCATGCGCAGCCACGCTGAACCACAAGAAACAAACTCCATAACATCCTAATATCCTGATAGTGTAGAACATAACATCCTGAGGTTCACTCTAGATGTGCCTTACCCAACGACTCCAGGATTTGACCATTTATAGACAGAACTTCCCTGAGCAGTAGATTAGAAATTGTAGTTTTACAGGCTGTCTTTAATC